AGAGAGAGAGAGAGAGAGAGAGAGAGAGATAGAGAGATGGCGCACTTCAGCAGGGAGAGGATCCCGGAGAGAGTGGTGCACACCAAGGGCGCAGGTGAGTGAAGGGAGGGGTGAGGATGGGGGTGAGTGTGAGTGTGATAATCTATAGAAAGAGTGTGTGTGAGGGAGTGTGTGTGTGTAGATGTGTGTATGTGTGTGTGTGTATGTGTGTGTGTGTGTGTGTGTGTGTGAGTGTGTGTGTGTGTGTGTATGTGTGTGTGTGTGTGTGTGTGTGTGTGTGTGTGTGTGTGTGTGTGTGTGTGTGTGTGGTGTCGGAAAGTTTCGGCATACATGGTAGGTGTTTTGTTGCAAGCATCCGTTCCTAGATCAGTGTACATTACGCGAATGAAATATTCACGGCTCGATGTTTATGGGTCCATAACGGCTCGGGTGGGTTAACGTGTTTATGATAATGTGTTTTTCTCAGCTGGTTCTTATGCATACTATATTCATGCGAGTTCATGGTATTTTGTACACCACTATGGTTTGAGTAAAAGTTTTACAGTCCTTGTAACACAATTAGGTCTTATAGGTGCTAAAGATTAGAGGTGCACGAGAAAGAATCTTATAAAGAAATAAAGGAGAAGAGGTAAAGACGATATAGTGTTTGATAGGAAAGAAGGTGCAAACCACACCACATTTAAGTAGCTATCAACCGTTCGCTATTTAAATTTGGGCTTTTTCTTATGTCTAAATGTGTTATCTAACACTACATACTTAGTCTTTGTGTAAACAATAATGTCTCTTCATATTCATAATATTGATTTCTGCTGGTCACTCTCTCGTTCGTTAGAGTTTGTTTCGCTTTGCTTGCAGTATGAACATGGGAGGTAACGAAAGAAAATGAAGCTTCCTTGTTTTAAATGGGCTACCTCCCTTGTCTTCTAACCACCCAATATCCGTTCGCACAGAATGCACATTGATGTCCTTATTTCCACCAACACAAGCGATTAAAAGCAAAAGAAAACACAACATCAATGGTATGGTGACAAACTCTGACAAACTCAACTATTCTTATGTATTGAGAGTAGTATAATAATAATAATAATAATAATAATAATAATAATAATAATAATAATAATAATAATAATAATAATAATAATAATAATAATAATAATAATAATAATAATAATAATAATCTTAATAATTTTAATAATAGTAATAATTATAATAATAATAACAACAGCAAAAACAATGTTAATAATAATAATAATAATAATAATAATAATAATAATAATAATAGGCATTTGTATAGCGCATATCCCCGCTCAACAGCACGATCTATGCGCTTTTTCTTCTTCTTCTTCTTCTTCTTCTTCTTCTTCTTCTTCTTCTTCTTCTTCTTCTTCTTCTTCTTCTTCTTCTTCTTCTTCTTCTTCTTCTTCTTCTTCTTCTTCTTCTTCTTCTACTCTTTCTTCTCCTAGGACGGTTAAAAAAAATGAAATGTTTCACCTAATTTATTTCTTTTTTATGGTACGTGTTTTACGGCGCTCGCAATTGCATAAGGTCATATGAGCGCGCGGGACACATTAAACATTTTCAGTTGGTAGGACATTTTGCATTTTTCTGGATTGCGACCGAAACCTACTCTTATCGATTTTGGACTACCAAGGAATCTTTAACGTGCACAACTTGCACAAGGGACCTCCGAGATTGTTTGCCCGTATGCGAGAAAGCAAGGTGTTAGATCTTACCTACACAAGGATCAGGGATGTGGCCGAAAGACAGCAGTAAGAAGGACAAAGGGATATCAGTAGAAAGGCTGCAGAAAGAGAGAGAGAGAGAGAGAGAGAGAGAGAGAGAGAGAGAGAGAGAGAGAGAGGGGATAAGAGCCCTTAGGAAGGGGCTAAAAAGGTAGGGGTATGGACAGAAAGTGGAGACGAAAGTAGACGACAGAACATTGTATGAGAGGAGGTAAAGATGTGAAAAGAGAACATTTTAGAGAAGGAAATTTTTCGACACTATCCGGATCCGAACCGGGCACCTATTGAATGAAAGACAAACACCCTAAACCTGTTAACCACGAGAGCCTATTCACCTAATTTAACGGATACACGGATAGAGTCGGACACCGACAATTTATTATGATAAACTTTAATGACGTTGTATGTATGGTCATAACGTTATAACGTGTATACTTTGTTCCTGTTCTAGGGGCTTTCGGCTACTTTGAGGTGACCCATGACATCACCAAGTACTGCAAGGCCAGCGTCTTCCAGAAGGTGGGCAAGAAAACGCCGGTCGCCGTGAGGTTCTCCACTGTGGGTGAGTCACAGCCATAGAATTATAATAATAGCCTAGATCCGGTACTGTCATGGCTGCGCTCTTTGCTCTATACATTGAATTGGAAATTGTATTATCCTATATCGGGCGTTGTCATGGCAGCCGCTGTTTACTCTTACTTTTTAAAAATGTAGGTATTTTTACGCCTCCATCGACACAATTCAGATAAATTAGGAGCCAGGATTCCGACCCTGCCTGTCAAGACCAACCAGAGCTCAGAGGGATACAAAATCCCAGCGGAAAGACCAACATGCTTGACAGATAGATAGATAGACAGATAGATAGAT